ATTGAGGTATAACTGACATATTAAGACTATAAGGTATTTTCAAGTGTACATCATGGCGATTTGATATATTATCTACACATTGTGAAAGGTTCTTCCCCCCACCCATCTAGTTAATTATGGGCAATTCTTATTGTAACTCCCACCTGTCACAACTGAGATCATGTTTTTCAAGAACATTCCCACATTTTATGATCAAGAGCAGTAGTTTTCAAAGTGTGTTTCCTGGACCAACAGCACCCAGTGTCGCCTGAGAATTTGTTAAAAAATTCCTGGCAGAAATTCAAATTCTTGGGACTAACTCAGATGTACTGAGTCAGAAATTCCGGGAGTGGGACTCAGCAATCTGCATTCTCCCAGGTTTTCCAGGTGATCTGATGCAAACGAATGGACTGACTCAGGGCCGTGGAAGGCGAAATCTAGAGGTTAAAAGTATCAGTGCCTGCAACTGAGAAGAGTAGGACTTGCTGCTGCCTTTACTGATTTTCTTTTCTTTTTTAAGATTTATTTATTTTTTAGAGAGAGAGGGAGTGAAAGAAGGGGCAGGGGCAGAGGGAGAGAGAGAAGCAGACTCCACACTGAGCAGGGAGCCTGACAGCTCGGCGTTTGATCCCACAACCCTGAGATCATGACCTGAGTGGAAACCGAGAGTCGGACGCTTAACCGACTGAGCCACCCAGGTGCCCCCCTCACTGATTTCCCAATCCAACTCGATAGATGAACCACAGATGTAAGAGATGTGAAGAACAATACAAGATTCTGACAAGCAGTTCAAGGCAATGTCAGCAGGGACACGGAAAAGACACTGCCAAATGTTTCCCTTTCAACCACTTCTGTAAGCCCAGTGTCTGCCTCCTTCTGGCCACAGCCAGTTCCAAGTCCTCTGTCCCTTTTTCACCTCTGGTGAATTCTAAGCAAATCACTGCTTTTGAAGATCATGCAAGTAATATCTACTGCATTTTTTATAATGCTCTATGCCTGCTTTTATATAGATCAAGTTATTTAATCTTCACAATTCTGTGAAGTTTAACCTACTGGGAAATTTGTATGTCAATTTAGAACCTTCTAATAAAGTCCCTAAGTTAACAACCACTGTTTGCAAGTAGACTATATGAGGTACTTTTATATAAAATTATTTCTAACCCCTACAACTCTGCAAGCCGCTCCAAGATAGCAAATGTATTCAACTTAAAAATATAGAAAAGTATTAAAACATATATCATAAATTACATTAAAATGCAGCATTAACTATTTCATGAGGTATGTTAAATCTTGCATAGATTTAATATGGTGCTATTTATTACAAAATGTGATGATATTGTGAGAGGGAAGGCTTTACTTCCCAGTAATGAGGGCAAAGGGAAGGGAATGACAATATATGACTTCAAAAATTCCTGCCCTAAAAAAAGTCTTTGTTGTCTTTCCACAATTCTCTATAATATCTGAGCATCACACTTACATTTCCTCCTGAAAAATCTAATTACATTCAAAATAAAAAATCACTCAACAGAACTCGCAAGTTCTAAAACATGGTAATTATTTTATAACTCAAAAGTGGTACCAGTAAAATTCCCCCATTCTTGCACATTTTCTTGTTCTAGCTGCACCCTATGGGCTGCTCACCCTATGGGTGGTTTCCGTGGGACTCGAACATCCCAACCACACTGGCCTCTATGTGATGTATTCATGGCTAAGGCCATTTGCAAAGATCATGGTTTACTGAATCTGTAGGCAGTTTTGGTTTGGAGGGAGCCATAATTTTTGTGACCACCCGTGGGACAGATCCTCTCCCATACAGCATTCTTCATTAGTGAATAGACTCTCATGGTATTGCAGACTCACTCACTGTATCCTCATCTGCTTCATTAGTTCATCGAGGAAGCCAAAAAGACCTTCGCAGGCATTAAACCTCAAAAGATCAAAACCTTGATCTACAGACTGTGAAATACTTCTCCCTCAGATGATCAGATAAATCACCTCAATTTATAGGCTAGTCTGGAGCATTATCTAGATATCTAGGATACAGAACTTCCGAACAAAAGGGCAGAAAATGTAAGTGAGCTGTCCTTGAGAATTGCTCATCATTGTCCTGGCCTTTCCATTAGGTCACAAAATTGCTCTCAAGTTAGCTCAGGATCGGGTCTGGGGAGCCCTGGGATTTTCAGAATAGTAGGCAAGTAAACACCTCAATTTAAAGTAGTCCTCACCGTAGCCTCAGGTGATATTTTAGCTGCTTGAACCTGGAGCACTATTTCCTTCCACAGAAATAAGTTTTCCTGGCAACCCTTTCCAATCAAATTCTGCCTCATCAACTGAAAATGGTCTCAATAAGGGAAGCTGGCATGTTAGGAGATTTGTAAGATTTGTATGTGTCAGAAATGACACCTTCCCTGTTCTTCTTAGTGCTCTGCAAACTATCTCCCTCTCTTGGAATCTCACAAACTGTGTAAGCCACTAAAATGTCCATTTCAAAACCATGACTTCTTCAAACTATGAGTCTTCAATCGTGTGGCTTCTAAAATATCTTGGTGCCCATTGCTAACCTGCTTCTGATCCTACATTCATACGGACTCAACAGGTTTCCCTCCAAATATTTTTATGATAAATCAATTTACTAGCACTTAGAAGTATAAGTGCTTGACAATCATTAAACAAATATTTTCTTCGACTTCGTGTAGCAGAAGGTAAAAGGAATGGCTCCAAGTACTTTTACCATCTAGCCAAGTCTCAATCTTTGTCAAATTGCCTTAACACTTCAGAGTTTACATTTAACTAATTGATGAACAGCTTCATTTTCCTTTGGCATTTTTCACTGTTTGGCTTCCTTCCATAGATCTTTAGCACAGGTCTGAAACCGGTAGAAACATGCAGTCCTGGCATGTGCATTTCTAGAACTTTAGCAGGAAGGTTTAACGTTTTGTTTTGTAGTTTTTCCTCCTGCTTTGTTCTGCTCTGGGTTTGTTATGTATTCAGCGAAACAGAAGACTTAATCAATTTTTCAAAAAGGCAAGAACAAAGAAAGGAAAATTGGACCCGAGGGAGAGAGGAAAGAAGAAATAAGTAGGCACCATAAACTTTCAGCTACACACTGACTCGAGAAGTAAAATTCCAAGAACAGAGTTCAACAGCATGTCCACCTGCCTGTTTCAAATGTTTCCAGAGTCACAGAAAATTCCAGTCAATCTGAAGATGCTCTGTTGACACTGTGACAACTTAGGCTCCCTGCCCATTGCGGCAGCTTGCCTGACACAGCTGGAGGTTCAAAGCTAAGAGCTCATAATCGTTTTGAAGACCAAATACAGAAAAAAAGTGTCATGAACAAAAAAAGGATATCTGTCTGGAGTGACAAAGCTGGTTCAACATAAACCTCTTAAAAAACTTGAACAAAACTACCAGATGTACAAAACACACACCAAGACAAATGTGACTCCTAAGTTCTGAAAGTCAGCCATCCACTCTAGGCTACACACAGCGAAGATACTCATGTTTTCCACAGATAGAGATATCGCGGCTTCCCAAACCCATTTCCAAGTGTACATGCAGTAAGACTAGCCCATTACCATAAACTACCTATATTAGATGTTGGGCCACTCTTCAATCGATTCTGGTTAGCTTTGACTCTTAACTGCTGGGTACCAGACCTTTAGTAAGATCATGGATTTCTGGACTGAAGTAAGAAGGGAAATGTTGTATAGGCTGCTGTAAACCAATTGTTAATTAAATGTGCTAGAATAAATGTTCATATATCAAATATTTGGCAAATCAAGCAGACACATGTGCAAACAAAAACAAGTCATGCTTTTTCATGTATATATCTAGTACAAAATATTTATGGGAGTTGATAACATTGTGCTTTGGTATATTTCATGTGTGACTATGTACCTGTACCCAAAACCTCTGTAAGATTTGGTCCGCCCTTCAGATCTCTTAGGGTCTCTAAGAGAAAGTACCCAGAGCAACTGAGCAGGGCCCACCACCGATGGGTCAACATTAAGGATGTCTTGATGACAGACCCTCTCAAAATATTTGCTTAATGCCCTTTCCCCCGCATTTGGATCAGCTGCGAACTGTTGAGTTAAAAAAGTTACACAAGCATGGCTTTTCCTGTTCTAGTGTTACGCATCGGTAAGTTCTTAATTCTCTATGGCTTATTAGTACTTTTAAAAAGAAAAAAGAACCAATTTGCTGCCAAAACCTGGCTCTGGAATCAGATGGGGGGGCAGTGGGACCTGCGATCAACAGATAATAGAAAATCCCCATTGTCTGGAGTGTGGAGCTGCTGGGACTTTTGCTTTCATATTCATAGAGTGACAGTAAGAGCTTTCCATATGTGAGGATGACAACCAATTATGTTTGCACAAGCCATAATCATTATGGCTAAAATCCAGGCTAACAAAGTAAACGAAAAAAATAACTTCCTTATTGCATATTAATCCTTTCCTATTTTTCATTACATAGATGAAATTTTCCACATATAGAGTCACCTATTCTTCAAACTCAGGCAGAAGGACGCTGGTCTGGGAGTGCCTTACCAACCCCCACCCAGCGGCTGATAAACCCTTCTTACAAGGTGGCTGACTGATGTGAGGTTTTTCTTAAGAGGCCTGGGGCTTCCTTTTGAAATGCAAACATGACAATAACTGTTCCATTAAGAAATCCACATGCAGCCTGTTACTTGACTAAGGGGGAAACATTTCCTTTGGGTCTAAATCAAGTTAATAAATTTAAGATACCTGGGAGAGCCGGGTGCACTGGACTTTTGGCAGAAGTCCAGAACTAAGAGAGCTAATGCATTATTTTACTGTGTTTCTTTATGAGAAAAAACAGTCTGCTGCCAACTCAGCTCAGGAAATCAGATGGGAAGCGGGGAGGGGGCAACTTGTAGCTCATCAAGAAAGCAAAATACAGATGATCTTAGGAGAGCTGTTCTCATGTGAGCGTTCCTTCGAACCAGAGCGAAGGGCATAGAGGCGGACAGCTGACGTGGCCTCTGCTGTGGTTACCTGGATAGAGGTCAGGTCCAGGCCCGGGGGAGTGTCCCACCGCCCCATCAACAGCAGCATCGCGCGGGGAGGTGGCCGACTGCAGGGGCTGCACAGTGAGGCACTCTGTGAGCAGGTCAGGATGGAGCTCTGCGCTGGACCGCAACTAAGAGGAGAAAACAGAAGACACATGAGAAAGGAAAGCTGTCCCTCGGAATACTTCCCGGGAAAGACATCACACCCTAAGGTTCAATGCAATTCAATTTACAAGTATTTATTAAGCAACAGTGGTGGGTCAGGCATTGGGCTTAACAGAGAGTCAATAAGACGGTGACTTCTCCAATCCTGGTAACACCTGGCAGGTGATTCCGGAAAACACAGCTAGAGGAGGACTGGACTTCAGTCTTTGATGTTTCTACTTCTGGGAACCCAGCTTCCTATTATACTTCCTTTTATTTGCTCTGTATCTTATCAGAACTTGTAGTGATAACAAAAACAAACTCAAGTGTATTTGGTCCAGATTGGAAGGTGCTTTTAAAATACAGACATAGGACTAGGAAAATATCCTGGAGATAACTGAGAAATATCCATTGAGATTTGGTGCCTATAGATTGTACATGACAGGAAAATACATAGGTTAAGTTTTAAAATAGGATGGAGCAGGATTCAAAGCAAAACTCACGTCATTAGCAGCAACAAAAACCCAATGGTAAGTTGCACGAAAAAAAAAAACAAACCCAACCTAATTTCCATCTTCATTTTATCACAGCAACAAAATAATTCTTTATATATTAAAGAGTTCCATAAAAAAAAATCAAACCATAAAAATGTAAGAATAAAGAATAGGCCAAATTTATCTGATCTCCTTATGAAAAAGAATTGTGGGTGTAATCTGGGGAAAAATCACAATGAGAGGTTTAGGTACGGGGGAAAAATATCAACCTTCTGCTTCTATAAAAACATAATACCTTAAAAATACAGAACAGTATTTGTTACAGATACTGCAAATAGCGTTTAAAGAGAGCATATGAACTGATTTTGCTTTTATCAAGACAAAACTAAACCTTTACAGGTATGGCTGGAGTACACCAACTCACCCAATGAGTATTTACGGAGCGTCAGATGCTCCTCCAGGCTCTAGGACTACTGCTGTATAGAATGTCTACTCTAGAGGGGAGGCAGCCCGTGAACCCCTACAATACCCGATGTCAGTGGTGGCTAATACCGCAGGGAAGAGCAATGCAGAGCAGGGAGACGGTTCGAACAGGAGGGACCGCGACCTTAGGCGAAGGGGCTGGGGAAGCCTCTTGGAGAGGGCTCTTGTAAAGAGCTTCGAAAGGAGGGAGGGCAGGAGCCCTGCAGATACGTGGGGGAAGAACCCAGCTGCCCCAGGGTGTGCCTGGATGGTCTGAGAAGAGGGGGACTAGAGTGGCACAAGCCTGGGGCCTGGAGAAGAGAAACAAGACGGAAGCAGCAGTATGAGGAAAGAGAGGGGGTACGTTCCTTAGAACAAGGAAAGGGCCGACCAGATCACTGAAGGCTCTTAAACATTCTCTAGTGCAGAAGTTACCTAATGAGTGAGGGGGGACTGCCTCACGTTGCAGCCCTTGATGCGAAGAAAAAGATTTAAAAAAGGAGAAATAGAAATGAGAATGAATGATGTTCAGCATGCTTGCAAGGAAATGCAATGTCAAACTTTAAAAAAACTTATCAGACTAACAAAACCTTTAAACAAGAAGGAGTAGTAGTGAAAGTACAGTGAGAGAGGCATTCATAAGCTCTGTTGTTGGAGTACACAGTGGCACAAACTTTCTAGATGGGATCTGGGAAGACCCATAGCTGAAGCCATTTGATCTTAGCATCTGTCTTAAGGAAACAGCCCGAGAGGTGAAGGAAGATTTATACCCAATGTTTTAATAGTACAGAGCATTACTTGTAGCAATAACCGTAATGAGGGAACATTATTTATGTGTCCCCAGCTAGGGCTAATAAATGATCTTACATCAATTTGATGGACTATTATGCAACCATTAAACTGAAGCCCACGAAGATAAAAGCAAAACACAAAATTAAACATACAGAATGATCGTTATATAAAACAGACAAAATACTGTAAGGAAGTATTATAAAATCCAATGTTAAAGCTGATTTTTGTTCCCAGCAGCAATATTATGTGGTTTTTTTTTTTTAAATCCTTTTTTCTGCTTTCCAAATTTTCGACATTCCAATGATGTGTTGGAGCCGGCTTGCACCAATCTAAGAGTGCCGTTTGTGTGTATCTTTCCCAGATTTTCCATGCAATGATGTCAAACTGAGAGCTTGAAATTGGTCATGATGAGAATATTTACACCATGGAAACTGGCAAATGCTACAAACTGGGCCTTTTTCATCTGGAGAGCCAGTTGTTAACTACACCAACACTCTACGGACACTGACTGTGACCCATACTCTGATCACAAAGAAAACAAGACACACAGACAAAACATTGGTAAGTTACTACTCCGCAACTTTAGCATTTCTTGGATCTCAACAAGCTTTGTAAAGAGACAAACACATGCCCAGGTCTTAGTCCAAGAATATGAAAAGGGCATAGTGACCCTAAGTATTAGAGAAAGAGCATTTAACACATGTAGTGAACTAGCCATAATTACATTATAATTTCCTCAGCCTTGCCACATTGCAATCTCTGACCAAGACCATCTGAATTAATGGCTAACCCTCTCAGGGCTTTTGGAAGGTATGTTTGTTATTTGGGTACTAACCTAACACATGCCATGTAAGAAAAACTGGAAAAAAATCAAGGCTTCGAATGAGTTCTGGTGATCACTTTTAATTTATATTTCATTGTTACAATGTGATCTGGGGCCCATATGTTCTACTGAGCATAGACATGAGTATCTCTCTGCTTTCTATTACTCTAGGGTTTTATAGTTATTGGCACTGATGCTGTCTTTCCAAGGAATTTCATGACCATGGACACTCCCAGAGTCAAAGGCAAGCAAATCTTCCTTAGCTTCAACAAGTATTCATGGTTCCTAAGAGTGTGATTCCATATGACTTTGTGGGGAGCGTTAATTTGGTTTTCTCTGGGATTAGGCATGGTTCTAGAAAGTGCTTCTTAAATCAAACAAGCCTTGGGGAACTTATGCATAATTTTCAGAGGAAGGCCATATGCATAGAAATGCAGTAGTGATGTGTAAGTTTAGTATTATCCTTACCCTCCCAGATTATTAGACCAGGAAAGGGCCTTCCAGATCATTTAGGGCTCTTAAACATTCTCTAGTCCAGGAATTATCTAAAGGGCAAGGCAGGGGGATATAGCAGGATCTCCTAGGAGGGATGTCCTTCCATATAATAGTTTTGTATTTGGAGTAAGATACCCAACTATTTATATACAACAAATTACATAATGTATGTTTCAACATCTTCTTAGCTACTAGGAATGTAAAGACGATAGAAAGAAATTTTCCCAACAGAAGATGATCTCTAACAATGGTTCTCCAACCTGGGCACGCATCAGAATCCCCTATGGGCCCCGCTGCAGAGCTGCTGACTCATTACGTCTGGGGTGTATTTCTAACAAGTTCCCAGGTGATGATGATGCTGTTGATCTAGGGACAACACTTTCAGAGCCACTGGTCTCTACGAATCCCGATGAGGAGAGCTGAGATCTTTCCAGTTATGGGAATAGGAAATGACTTGTAGAAATTAGGATTATAAAACCAAATTGCTTTTTTTTTTTTTAAGATTTTATTTATTTATTTGACAGAGAGAGACATAGCGAGAGCAGGAACACAAGCAGGGGGAGTGGGAGAGGGAGAAGCAGGCTTCCCGCGGAGCAGGGAGCCCGATGTGGGACTCGATCCCAGGACCCTGGGATCATGACCTGAGCCGAAGGCAGACGCTTAACGACTGAGCCACCCAGGCGCCCACCAAATTGCTTTTAACACACGAACCTCATGTAACCATTTCTCATTATGTCTCCCTGCAGACCTCATCACAAGAAATGGTTACGTGAGATTCGTGTCTTAAAGACAATTTGGATTTTTGTCTTCTTTCACAGGAATAAAAAGAAGTAAAAAATTTTTAATACCGTCTAATCACCTGCCCTTAGGAGATAGCAAAGAACTTGCCCTTTATGGAAACTTTATTGGTCTTTACAGAAAAAAGTGACATTTGAACCCACTAATCATCAACTCCTCTATTTTAAAGGGCTGCCTTCTGTGTCCCACAACACCGGGGACCTTGACTTACATCGAGATACGTGAATGGTGCCTCTGGAGTTGTTCAACACTGCTGTCCTAACCAAGCCCCATGAGTTCCAGAGTAGCACTGCCTTTCTTTATCCTTCTCATTCATTCACTGAAAAACTACTTCTTGGGCCTCAACCACATGCCAGGCACTGTTCTAGTGGCCTGACATACATCAGCAATCAGAGCAGAGAAGATGCCCCCTGAGGAGCTCACATTCTAGGGGCAGTGAACAGCAAACAAACTAACCAGATAAGTAAATTTCATAGAAGATGGTAATTGCTATAGAAAAAAAGAGAAAGAGAGAGGGGGTACCTGGCCTGGGAATGCTGGGGAGAACTGTGGCCTCACTGGAAAGATATATTCGAGCAAAGACTTGAAGGGAGTTGGGGAAATTAGCTAAGTGCCTATCAAGAGGAAGAGTTCTTCCATGAGAGATGATGGACTCTGAAAAACAAACTGAGGGTTCTAGAGGGGAGGGGGGTGGGGGGATGGGTTAGCCTGGTGATGGGTATTAAAGAGGGCACGCTCTGCATGGAGCACTGGGTGTTATGCACAAACAATGAATCATGGAACACTACATCAAAAACTAATGATGTAATGTATGGGGATTAACATAACAATAAAAAATTTAAAAAAAAAGAGGAAGAGTTCTAGAAGGAGAGCTCAGAGAGCACTGTCTTGCTGTCTGCAAACGTCCCATTTATCACGGCTGCGCACTCCTCCTGCCTGGGATGGCCTTTCTTCTCCCAATGTAGCTTCTCCCAGATGCAGTTTAGGGCCTGCCTCCTGAGGGAAACCTCTTCTGACCAGGCCAGCCCACACTGGCCTCCGTGGTGCAGGGAGAGCTGCAGAATCTGCTTTCAGCAATCCTGTGATTGGACATGTGTTTGGGGCTTTGTTTCCTGTTATGAGT